TCAATTATTGCTCTATAAATCTTCAAAACTCAGCAGCCGCAATGAGAGCTTGCATAGGGGTATTTAAAAGAATCTCCTTAGGGTTGGAGTCTTCTACAAGGCATAGGACTCCAACCTTGATTTCTTTCCTTGATTATAGCATGAGAATTTGGTAAGTGAATCTTCTTCTCTCTCTCCTTGATCTCTTTATCATACACGCCTCTCCCTTCATTATCTCATCCGATTTCCTACAAATCAAAGTACCATAATAAGATCCATAATATCTTATTTATGGAATATAAAATAATCGTAATTAAGGAAACAAATAAGCAAAGATCTTCCCTGTTTCTGTAGTTCCAGGTGCTTGTTAGAACCTTCGAACTAATGCCAAAATAAATATCTTTCACATGTCAACAATATATCAAATGAAATTATCTTTTTTCTCTCTCTTCGATAGCCCCAAATCAGAAAAAAAGGAAAAGAACAAAATCGCGTTCTCTGCCTTCTCTCAGCCGGGCCTTCGGTCCACCATGATGGCGACCTTCACCACGTTGTACGACCAGCTTCCAGAGAATCGTCGGATGTGGTGGCGGCCTCTTCTTCGAGCGACGCGGCAGATTCTTCCTTGGTTTCACCACCATCTAGGTCGTCAAGGTAAGATGTATTCCGACGAGTCCTCGGCATATAGGCGGCGGCGAGCTTCCGACGAGGCTGTGCGAGTAGGTTGTGGATCCGATTATTCCCTCGGTGGTGGTCGGGGCCGAATTTGGGCGGTTCCGCTTTCTTCTCTTCTCCCGTTATTCTTCGCTTTTGGGCCGGTTGGGTTGCAGCGGAGTCATGTCGGGTCTGGTCTTGTGTTACTGGGCCCGGGTTGTCGGGATTTGGAAGGTGGAGTTTGTGGTGTTTCCTCCGGTTGCGGGTCTATGGGTTGCTACTCGAGCAAGGGTCACGGTCCTTTAGTCTTGAAATTGGTTAGGCGATTTATCTGCAGTTTCTGACTTTGAGGCTTGGATCAGGTCTTTGTCCGTATGGGTGGCAGCCCGTAGGTGCCGGCGTCATTGGTGTTATGTCTGGTTCAGTTGCTGTGGGAAGGGCTATAGTTTATTTTTGTTTTTGTGTCCATGTTGTAAGAGTGCGTTTGTGTTTTTTATCCCCGCTTTTAGGAATGTGGATTCTTTCGATGGGGAGTGTGATTCTCCCATTGGGGAGCTTGTATTCTCTCGTTGGGGAGTTTTTGTGTGTTTTGTTGTGTTGTGTTGTGTTATTTAGGCTATCTTTGGATGTTGGTAGGCCTCCCTATTCCGGCTAATGAGTCGATTGTAAGTATGTGTTTTAGTAATGAATTTATCCTTTGGAAAAAAAAATAATATACCAAATTAATCATTTTTTATGAGTTTCGTTTTGACACCTTCAAATACTGTAAATACAAAATAAATAAATAATTATATTTATCTTTGTAGTAAAAACTAAATTATCTATTAATATTGATTAAAAAATAAAATTATTTAAATCAATTTAACTACAAAGTTGTAAAATGGTATAATGTTAATAAAATATTCTAATATAATACAGTAAGTCATATAAGTGTTATGTGTTATTTAAATATAAATATTAATATAGTTATTAAAAAAAATATTTAAAAGTTAAAATAATTTATTATTATTATTATTATTATTATTATTATTTTTAATTTTAAATATAAATTTAGCAACAAACACTGGTGTATATACATGTATTGTATACTAGTACAACACCCGTGTATTACACGGGTGCTTGCTAATTTTTTTATTAAAATCTAAAATTAATGAGAAAAAGTAGTTTGAAAATTTAAATACCTTTTATAAGAATATATATTATTATGTATTTATTATGACACTTTTTATTTGTGAAACTTACTTGTGTTATATTATACTATTTTTTTTAACTTACAATATATAACTACACTACATATAAATATATCAATTGTAAGATAATTTTATTTTTCTAATGAATTTTAATAAATATTATTATTTTTTATTATTATAAAGATAAATACAATTTATTTATTTCATATATACAATATGGATGTCAAATCGAAAATCATCAAAAGATGATTAATTTGATATATTATATATGTAAAACCGATAAGAAATACAAAAGTTATCAACTTTTAAAATACATTTATAATTCAATAGCTTATTAAAGGAAACAAATCAAAATTCAAGGATATATTAGTCACTTAGTGACTCACTATGTAAAATTACAAAGAATTAAAGGGTTATATTAGTAAAAGTGATATTAAAACACCTAAGTTAGCTAAATAATATTTATGGAATACCCGAACCTAGATTATTAATTATTAATATATCAATATTATTTATCCAAACCTAATTACAAAACATGATACTTCGCCAAATAGGATTTCGAAACCAGCCACGTAGGCTCAGCGCATTCGGAAATTATATATAGAGGTGATGACTAGTTAATTTATATTTAATGAAAAAGGAATTAAAATGGCCAAGTCCAGTCCTTAAATTTGGATTTTTCTCAGTCAAAAGATGAAAGACTTAAATCCATAGTCAAAGGGAAAAACAAGAGCACACCTAAAAGGTCAGCCACATTAGAACAGACTCCAAAGACAATACATCACTTCCCAAACACAAACACAAACACAAACAAACACAAACACAGTATATTAATCTGAACCATTGGCTTCACAAATATTCAGATCTTCAAAGTTGAAATACTGATCAATCTCCACTCCTTCATCTTGATTCCTTGCCAGCATCGACACCTCGTCGCGATCTTTAAATCCGGAGCTCGGCTCGACTTTGAGCCTCGACTGGCCAAGAGTCGAGCCTATAACCATCGACTTCCATTCGCAAAACCGATCGTTATTCACCTCAAACTTATGTAGTGCCTGGAGACAGTAACCAAGCTGGGACGACTGTCTCGACCCATTTACTTGTTGCTCGATTTTCTCGATTTCTCTAAGCCTGAATACTTCTGCTTGCTTCAATTGAACCTCGACTGCATGCGCCGAATAAAATGCGAAACTCATAATTAAGTAAACAACTAAAATAAAGGCTATATATATATATATATATATATATATATATATATATATATATATATGCTAAATAACTCCTATAAATATATCATTATACAGTTTCGTATAGAAAATGACATCATCATGCACATATGTCGATATGTCGTATTTTTTATAACATTATACAAATCCGAAGTGAAATACTATATAAAAAAGTGGACATATATATAGAGATATAATTACTTTCCGAACGCTTAGACTCGTTCAGGTGTAGCTCTAACACGTTTTGGAGCGAGTTGTTCTGAACGAGCAGTAGTGTCCTCTTCTCCTCGTAGCTTTTGACTCGAGGGGTAAGAATCGATATCAATTTCTGCAAACAAACATAAATTTAAAAAAAAAAAAATGTAAGTATATATCTATAGGTATAATATAAACCCTAATTCAAGTATTCAACATTGTTTAATTTGAGGCACAAACATAGTAAAATACACATATTTGTTATATTTGTATTATGGTCACGTGCAATAATTAAATATTATACCTCTAAATCAAGAACCATTTTTTCCATGTCATTAATGTACTGATTTTTTCTCAATCTGGACCTCTGAGCAGAAAGCCTGTTGGATATGGTCCTACAAAATTAAAATATTACAAAATTAATAAATAAATATATAAATTATAATTAAATAAATAAAACATGGAGTTAGTTAATTCATGTGGCAAACAAATTATAAGTTTAAACCTTAAAACATGTAAGAAATAGATAAATATCAACATATATTTTAATTATTCACCTTCTGAGCTTCTTCTGGTCAATGTGAGGGTCCAATATGCGGCCGTTTTTGAGCTCGTGCTCGACTGCTTTGTCGAGAGTGAGAGCGGCTGTTTGTCGGGAGCTCGACTTATGTTGAGGAGGCTGTTTAAGGGTCTTATTTGTTTCCATTTTTTGAGAAAATTGCACTTTTATCTTATAGTTTGAGAAAATAATATGTAAAAAAAAAATGACTACATTATTATTTGAGAGGCAAACTTTGAGATGCCATACAAATAGTGTGAGAGAGGCTGTGAATAT